GCTGCTTCTGTCTTTCCTCCCCCGTTTCTCCTTCCTCCTGCTCTGCTCTTTGTGTGTTTGAAGTGCCTGGTCCACATCTCCCGAACGTAAATTAAGAAGATTATGGATCTGGTATCTTGGGCATTCAACTCTATTGATAAGATTTTTTCATCAAAGCGACAAGGTCCTGGAGAACCTGCATGTCCAGCTGAGACTCACGCTGTGGGGAACGTCATGGACCCGTGGGGAGTGTGGCAGCTGATGTGCCTCTCAGTCCTGTCTCAGGAGGATGTTGAAGAGGTTTACTTATTTGGATTTATGAGAGCAGGGACTCTGCTTTTTGGCATCGGCGGGGCTCTGTTTGATCGACTTTTAAAGAAGACATCGGCAGCAGTTTCGGCCATGGAAAAGCTTCCGAGTCAGTGTGAAGGTTTGGTTCATGTTGTGAGTGCTCAAAATCAGCTAATTTATGAGCTAAACCATAAGGTGGAGGAGATTTATGAGAATCGCAGGCCGCAGGCTATGAGGGAGACTCATAGCATGGATCAGTGGAATGGATTCCCACAATTAGGCCATTTTGGAACCAGAACGTCCAGATGGACTCAAGGATGAAGAAAAAAATCTGTCCGACTGCCTTGGAGACGGGCTGACTATCAAATTTCTCTTGGGTCATGGGTAACCAGGGACAAAAGCTTAATCTACCGCCTATTTCAAAAAGCTAAAGTTGCACCAATACCAAAAGTCATAGCAGGATTGTCCTGAACAAGCTGAACGTTTTGATTTATGATTTGTTGAAATAGCACAAAAATTGAGGAACGAGAAAGATGCAGAAAAACGTATGTAACAGTTTAAAGAAACCTGGAATAATAAATATAAACAGGTTCACAATAGTGTGAATGTCTAATAAACATTAGTCAAATGGTTTTACAGAACTTTTGATCAGGGAAAGATAAGCACAGACCTTCAGGGCTGCTGGTCTTGACAGACTGACCCGAGTGTCTGATCAGGGCTTAGTCATCTCATCCCATTAGACAAGCACCGGAGAGAGAGCGACGCCTGAAGAATTACCGTTAAGTTCGTGTTATGCTCGTCTTCGTGATGGTCCTACGGTGACGCTGTGGTTAGAACTTCAAGGCCTCCATATGATCCTCTCCTTCTGTCCCGTCGTAACTTTTTGTTTAAACTAAGCGTAAAGCGCACATCTGTCTAACCTTGTTTTTGTCTAGCCCAGCAGTGCTGAGCGATAAAGTAAAGAAGAGAAGAGAGAATACAGTGATTTTAACACAAATAAAATAACGTTTTGTAACTTTAAAAAAGAGATAAGTCCATCATGTTCGCGGTAGTGCAGACAGACACGAGGGATTTGAAGATAAATGAAGAAAAAGAGATTTATTTTTAAAAGACACCAAACAAGAAGGTGACGTGGCAGCAAAACTGACTTGGACACGGGGAAACACGGAGGAACAGAACACGGCGGCACAATCCATGGACAACCAGGAAACACAAAGACGCTGGATTTAAAGGGACACTAACGAGGCATAATGACGAACACCTGAGGAGATTGGGAGCAGGTGAAGCAGGAGCTGACATGAAGAACAAACACTGGGGAAGGCAGGAAACAAGAACCTAAAGAAATCACACAAAACTAAACACAGATTCTCACCTGCTGACTCCATCAGCTCCTCCGTGTCTTCACCTCAGCCCTGCTGGGCGACGTTCTGAGCTCTCAGCTGATCCTCAGGTGACTCTCGGCTCCTGCCATCCTTCCTCGGGCCTGACGCTACACCTGCAGGGCGTCGTTTTCAGAGGAGACTCCAGATGTACCGTGTTAAGGCCCGGCTTCTTACTTGGCTAGGTCTGCTTATAATTTCAGCTGATGCAAACTGAAACAACAATCGCAATGTCCAACCTGATACTTTGTGTTTACTCTGAGAAACTTGCAGACATTTTAATGCTTTTCACAATTTCATAGAGAAAATTGAATCAAAACAGCCTAAACTGTCCAAAATTTCTGCGCGTATAACTAAATAAATAAATCTTAACCAGATGTTAAAACACCAAGTGTTCACAGATGTTCAGTTTGTTTTGTGTTGTTGTATTAATTGCTGGTTTGTGATTTTATTTTGAACTTGGTAATAAGATCAACTTCTAACAACAATTCTAAACTTTGAGACTGACTGCCATTGAAAAGGTGGAATGAAAATGGATCTGAAACGGAGTGAAGATTAATAGGTGTCTTTTTCTCTTGTCTTCTCTCGTGGGTTTTGATGTGCAGCATTAAATGAATTTTGACACCTAATAGAAAAGACATGCATGAATGCACGTTTAAACAAATGGTTTCTGTCTGAACAGTAATATCACTTCTTCAGTAAAGAGTTTACAGCTCATTAAATCTGTGTGTGATTCTGGTAGTTTGGTTATTTGCAAGCTCACGTCAGTGTTCATGTTAATCCACACTGAGTCCAACTCATCGCTAACTGCATTATTATAATTACAAACCAGATTCCAAAAAAGTTGGGACACTAAACAAATTGTGAATAAAAACTGAATGCAATGATGTGGAGATGGCAAATGTCAATATTTTATTCGTAATATAACATAGATGACAGATCAAAAGTTTAATCTGAGTAAATGTAACATTTTAAAGGAAAAATATGTTGATTCAAAATTTCACAGTGTCAACAAATCCCAAAAAAGTTGGGACAAGTAGCAATAAGTGGCTGGAAAAAGGAAATTGAACATATAACAAACAGCTGGAAGACCAATTAACACTAATTAGGTCAATTGACAGCATGATTGGGTATAAAAAGAGCTTCTCAGAGTGTCAGTGTCTCTCAGAAGCCAAGATGGTAAGAGGATCACCAATTCCACCATTGTTGCACAGAAAGATAGTGCAGCAATACCAGAATGGTGTTACCCAGCGTAAAATAGCAAAGACTTTTAAGTTATCATCATCAACCATGCATAACATCATCAAAAGATTCAGAGAATCTGGAACAATCGCTGTGCGTAAGGGTCAAGGCCGTAAAACTCTACTGGTTGCTCATGATCTCCGGGGCCCTTAAACATCACTGCACCTCAAACAGGAATGCCACTGTCAAGGAAATAACAGAAT